TTTCATAGCTGTATAAGATATATTAATTATATAGATCTAGGGGTCTAGAGCTATCCCCGTCACACCAAACATGCTCGTCCTTTCAAAGAGGGAAGGCTGTCAAGTGGGTTGCATCCTTGACGTAAGAAACAGCTTTAGAAACGATGACAGGGCAAGATCTGCCATCGGCTCAACGGTCCGCAAGGACTATGAGAAATGAAAAAAAAAAGAGCTATGTATATAGATGCTCTAACCTTAGGTATAATAATAATAGATTAACGTAATTATTTAGATAAGAATCTGTAGAAAAAGCGTTTACCCGCTGGCTAATAATTCAGCACAGATTTGCACTCACACGTAGGCCTAGGACTCTTGGCCTATAGTAGATGATATAACTAAGTTAGATCTAATAATAATAATTTAGATAAGATCATAAGAATCTGTATAAAAAAACACCTACCTGCTGGCAAATGATTCATCAGGGATCTAGTAGACCTAGTCCGCCTAGCCTGCTAGTAAAGTTGCGTTGTAAACACGAGTACTTGTAAGTTGTAACGTTATTATTAGGCCTATACATACGATTGTTAACAACCGGTTCGTGGAAGTCATTAAATTCTAAGAACAGGTTCGCACGAACTGGTGCGAGCCGGCTGAATCCCACCACTGCAGACTACCCCCAATCTAGTAGTCTCCCGATAATTCACGAAGGTTCGAGAAGTACGTGGCGTGATACTAGTCACGTGACCTCGCTTACGCAACAATACATTATTGAATTATCATATGAAGTGTGAGCTGGATTTATCAGACTAAAACACAAAGAACAATTTAAAGTGATATTCTAGAAGTTATCTTGGGTTTTAAACTGTTCTTTCAAAGTATATATATATATATATGTAACATATGTTCCTTATATATGTATACGCCATTCAGATAAGTCCGCCTGCCAAATTTGTTCTTGCTAGCTTCAGAACTGTGGGTGGAATTAGCTGGACATACATCCATACAAAGCTACAAGATGAATTAATATAGTATGTATAGTATAAGTAGAATATGTTCATTATATAAGTGTGAAATGTTTTACCTAAACCTAAAGGAACTAATAATATTGCAAGTGTGTGATTAGCTCCAAACTGGCGACCGTCGTTAACTTTTTAGCTCCATCTTACTGGTGTATATTATTTAAGTTTCCAAGTAAATTTCACTATACTTGGCGAAACTACTAACTACCTGTTCCAAATTCTTCCTTTAGTACAATTGCCTTTGTTTTCTTCAATTCTGAATTTCATAATTATTTCTGTTGTTTTAACTCATAGCAATTATCTTTTGGGAAGACATCTATGTAAAGTTTCAGCCAGTAGAGAAGATGGAGAAGGAAAATGTAAAGGAGACCAGAATGTCATGACACTGGTTTGAAACCATGAGTGAGATGTTTAGTTTGAAAAGCTCTTGGGATGACTTTTAACAAACTTTTGAAGAATTCTGGATTGATCGAAACGCGTCGTCGATAAATGGATATAACAAGTATAGTGTAGTTGTAAGACTATTATTATAATACACCTTTCTAATTATTGAAAATCCCTAAGGGACGAGATTAAAAATGCAGTGTTTAAAAATATAATACGTCTAATACTAACATGTTATTAAAAATGTAATAGGCCTAATACTAACTTGTTATTAAAAATGTAATAGGCCTAATACTGATGTGTTGTTAAAAATATAATTGGAATTATTCTTCGCCGGCTTGTAAAAGGCGTACACACCATAACAATGTACAAATTAATGTTTACCCCGCTGTTTCAGCGGTAAGATTTTAGGGCGTATCGGGCTAAAATCCAGTAAGGATAGCACAACAAATAGCCCTTGTTGCTTAACAAACAAAATCAAACTGCTTATTTTTGTCGGTCAGAATTTTCACCATACAGTGGGAGCCTCACTTGAAAACTCGTCTTATATGTAAAATTTCCTGCAACCAACCAAGAGTAAAACACCTACGACTGTAATAGTAGCCTTAACACCGCCCGTTTAGATAGATGCATGTG